CAAAGTCATTCAGAATGGTTTGGTGTGAAACCACTCTGAATACTACTAGAGAAACTTGGAGAGTCAGTATTGCTCACAGTGGTGCTGATAGGAACCAGACGTCTGAAGAGTTTAATGCCCCTGAAGGCCCCCTCACAGAAATCCGTTGGGCAAAATGATAAAGTAAATACTGCATTTAGGTTCACTGGTGGTTTTAAATAAAATGACTACATTAGTGTTGTAGACATTGCGGCACCTGTTTCCTATCACCGCCACTGTAAAGAAATCTGAGTCTGTACGTTTTTCTAGAATTAACATTTAACATCAAACTGCTCTGAATGACTTTGTTCATGTGTCAAAGACTGAATTATGAAGACATTTTGAATAACTGTTTGAATTTCCCTCTAAGTTAGGCTAACACCATGCTGTTTACATTGTAGACCAATATAAATAAAGATGTTACACTTACATTAAAATGAACACAGTTGATCACTCTGTAAGGGAGAGTGGGGCTGGTTGGCACAGTTTTCACTCTCTGCTGTATATATATTTTTGTTCCCCCTACTGACCCATAAGCTGAAACTGTGCCAACCAACCCCTGTGTCAGCCAACCCCATTCTCCCTGAAGGGCAGATATTTAAATTAGAGAGAGATTTCTGAGAGAGCAGCGGTTGTCCAGGGATGCATCTGGCTGCCCAAAATCAGCTGCAAGCTTTCTGCTATATTTCTCAACTAATTTGTCTCTTTGTTTCTATGTATGTTTTGTGCATTGATGTTTATATATGTACATGTACATGTGTACACTATGGATTTATAGCCAGTATGGACTGTCTCACATGTCCCAATCACCATCTTGGAACATATTCAAAATGCATTGTTGGATCAATAAGACGACATGGCTAAAGATTGACTTGTGTTGTTTTGACTAAAATAATTATATGAATACCTTTATATGGAGTTGTGATATATATATATATATATATATATATATATATATATATATATGTATATATATATGCGCGTTGAGTTCAGTTTTTATCAGTGCTGAATATAGAAAGTGGTGAATTTCTCTCTTATATAATGGTGAAGGTTGCTCAGTTCCTGCTGTCCATCTGAAATAGTCCATTAATGCAGCGGAGACAGAGTTGAAGATAAAAGAAGAGATTTGGATTGAGTTTGTAATCCGCAATGCTGTATTAGGACCATTAATCCAATAAAATCTCTCCAGAGGCTTTTGTGAACTGCATGATTAGGGGTCCGTGGTCTGACCCCATGTTAACTCACGGAGGGTGGTGTGGTTTGTTGACCTGTTCTTTTCATGCTAAAGTGGCTTTCGTGAGTTTAGACCAAATCCTCTCCAAACCTGCAGAAATGAAATGTCCCCATTTAACTTATAATTCCTCAGAGATTGGAACTGGGTTACATGAGTAAAGGAATAAAAATAATCATGATGTTGTTCTTAAACAAGAGCCAATCTGGCATAATATTTTTTATTGAATAATCACTGTGGATGGTGCTGTCCTGTATACCAGATTTAGCTACATGATCAACTGCACCTGTGTTTAGTTCAGCCGATACACATGCATTTGGTTTTGTGTGACTTTGCTGTGCTATTCCAGTGTCCTCTAGGAGGAGAGAGAGAGAGAGAATTAAGAGAATGATATACACAGAGAGGAGAAAGAGAGATCGAGTGCACAGAGAGAGACAATAAAAGAGTAGCAAGAGGGGAGGAGGAATAGACTAGAGAGAGAGAGAGAAAAAGGGAAAGAAAGAGGAGAAATAGACAGGGACAGAGTAAGAAAAGATGAGAGAAGATGAAAAAATAAAATAGGGGTGGAGAGAGAAAGAGTTGAGGGAGAGAAAACAACAGAGGAAGAGAGGAAAAGCAATGGAGAAGAAGTAGAGGTGTGGAGAGAGACAGAGGGATGTGGACAGAGAGAGAATTAGAGAGTGAGAAGAAGGGTGTGGTCAGAGAGAGAGACAGAAAGTGCGAGAGGCAGACACAGAGGGACAGAAAGTGGTCTGTGTGTGTGAGAGAGAGAGAGGTATACAGTGAGGGAGAGAAAGAGAAATAATATCCTACACGGTTTTTGTATGTTTGTTTTTTATTATTTTTTCTTAAGGTCCACTTACTCGTTGTGTTGTGTTAAACAGGCTGGTTTTTTGTAATTGTGTCTTTAAGCCTGTTACATTTGAATGAGCTCTCTTCTGATTGGCTGCCTTGTATTGTGTCTCTTTCAGAAAGCAGTCAGGGCTGAAACACTCCTTATAACTTCAGTGTGAGTGGCTGAATGGGCGAATAAACATAAATGCATAGTTTTTACTGACATCACAAAACTGAATTTACTGTATTTTGATAATCTTTTATTAAACTACTAAAACATGCTTTGGTTTTTCTTTCATGCCCTTTAAATGTTGGCCCTTTAAATGTTGTTTCGCTGGTACATTTAGTCAGTTTCAGCTTCAGCCTCAGAGAAGCTGAATATCGTGTGTTGCGAAATGTCTTTTCTTCCCCTCTGTCTCTCTCCGCCTGTACTGATCTCATAAAACACAGCAGGGCTATGGGCTGTGTCTCTTATCTCATTAAAGCCTGGTCTCCGGTGAGACCGCCGCTCTTCCTCATTCACTCCACAGCTCATTGATCACCTCTCTCTGATCAATGGCAATTAAAGCGTGCAGGAACACTTTAATCGTGCAGCGAGCGTCTCTAAACTGGACCGCCTTGACCTCCAGCGACCTTGGGATGATTGGCAGGGCTGAGAAAGAGATATAGTTGATGTGTGAGGGGCGGATCTGCAGTTAAGGCCGGCGTACGGTCAGCCTTATGGTGGTTCATGACATCTGGTCAACATCACTGTGGTGCTTTATCAAGAGGTCCAGAAGGGGTGGTGCTGTATTGTAGTGCACCATTTTAATTTATGTGTACCTGGTTTTTATTCTTAATTTGACTCCATCTCTATTCTGAATTTCTCATCTTCGCTTGCGGGCTGTGATTGAAATATCTAAAGAAGCTGAAACAATCATTAAAACAAAAAAACAAGTATTTATTATGAGACACGCCAGGTCAATGCTCTATTTTGAACACAATAGATATCACAATGAATATATATATATATATATATATATATATATATATATATATATATATATATATATATATATATAATAACAATAGAATTTTATTTATAAGCACCTTTCAAAGCACCTGCGGATGCCATATACATAAAATAAAAACACAAATAGACTTATAAAAATATTAAAATATCTCTGAAACATTATCTTTACTGTAGAATGAAAATAACACTCTATACATTAATGTAAATAATTTTAATTCTAGGTAATGTTGACACATTTCTGTTGGTCCATTCATCAAAACATGTTCACACAATGGAAAATGTAGCTGTTGTTTCAAATAGTGTGAATAAAAAAAATGAAAAAATATGAATTGTATAACAGTGATGATACGCCACTATAGCCATTTTCTCCATGAACTGCTAGTAGACACAGGTTTTTTAGATTAGGTCGGTCTAAGTTGCTTTTTTAATGGACCAAAGAGTGGTTACTTTAATAGCTGTCCAGCTGTCCAGCTGTGCGTGTGTGTGTGTGTGTGTGTGTGGTTTTGTATGAGTAATAAGAACTCAGTGGGGTGCGATTAGTTGGATTTTGTACTTGGCTGCCTCTGTCCTTTTTCTGATTGGTCACACTTTCATATCCAGAACAAACTCCGGCTCTCTTGTTACGCAGATGAGTTCTATCCCATCATTTCTTCCCAAACCACTGCTTTTACTGCTGACATTCACACTCTCTCACTCCACTCAGCACACACTCACACACTAAAATACCATTTATTCCCCTTCATTAGCCACATGCTAACTGTCCAATCGCTCGATAATGACCTGGGTGTGTGCGCATTATGGGATATGAGGCAATGACTTTGAACAAACCTGGATGTGCTTTAATAATGAGGCTTGAGACTCTCTTGACTCTTTGTAGTATGTTGAAGTTTTTAGCTTTGTTTTTCCTCTGTGTTATTTTCTTTGTTAAAAATATAAATAAATACATTTCTGCTTCAGAAATAAGACTTTTTGGAAAGTTTTTCTGTGATTTCGTGGAACCTAAATGTGCCAAAAGTATGTGGATAGTCCTCCTAATTATTGCAGTCAGGTGTTTGAGCCACATCCCTTGCTAACAGGTGTATAAAATCAAGCACATAGCCATGCAGTCTCAATCGACAAACACTGGCAGTAGGATGAGTCATACCGGAAAGCTCAGTGACTTTAGGCATGGTCCTGTCATAGAATGCCATCTTTGCCACAAGTCAGTTTGTCAAATCTCTGCCCTGCTAGGTCTGCCCTAGACAACTGTAAGTGCTAACATGGTGAAATGGAAGCATCTAGAAGCAACAACAGCTACAAAGCTCCAAACTGCATGTCAGAAACTTCATAAAATGGGTTTCTGTAGTCAAGCAGCTAAACGCAAGCCAAAGATCACTATGCGCGATGTCAAGCGTCAGCTGGAGTAGTGTAAAATACACAGAATGTGGAAACATTCTCTGGAGTGATGAATCATGCTTCACTGTCCGGCAGTCTGATGGATGATTCTTGGTTTAGTTGATGTCAGCAACTCCAAATTAATGTCCATTTAATGGTTTTGAGATGTTCAGCAAGCTCATATAGGTGTGGTGGTTAGATGTCCACATACTTTGGGTCATTTTCAGTGATGCATTTAAACAAGTTCACACTTTATTTTTTATATCTATGAATATAATACTTTAGCAATTGATGCAAAGTTGGCCAAGCTTTACAGAAGGTTAACAGAATTTACATATATTCATCTATTCATGTGCATACCGAGTAAACCTCATTTGAAATAAAAAAAAAAAAAAAACTTATTTCAGGTATTTTGACAAAAACTATGCTGCAGTTTCTGGTGGGGCTTTTAGGATTTTTTATAAAAAAAGGGTATAAACTGGAAACTTCAGTTAATAAACCAAAGGTGTGTCTGTGTGGGTTTATTTCCAGGTGTAATAACAGGACTCAGTGTGCGGTGGTTGCTGGACCAGATGCTTTTCCTGACCCCTGCCCTGGAACCTACAAATACCTGGAGGTCCAGTATGAGTGTGTCCCATACAGTATGTATAACATTTTCTATTACTTTTCTATTACACACACATACACGCACACAGACACACATACACGCACACACACACACACACAAACACACACACACAAACATATATATATATATCTATATATATGCACACACATGCAGTGTATATATGTACATGCAAACACACACACACAGTGGTATTTCGGAGAGTAGAGTGAGTTGTCCTTTACAAACTCTGAAACAGATACCTTTAACTTTAAGCAAGATTTACCTTTTTGTTTGATTTATTTCCGTCCTCGTATTTCAGCAGATAAAATTCTCTCACTGATTTCCAGCTCATAAATTCTCATCTTTGGGCGTGTGTCTGAGAGTGTGTGTGTGTGTGTGTGTGTGTGTGTGTGTCTTAGTGTGTGTGTGTCCACCATGGCCAGGGTCCCCTAAGCGGATCCATATGATAAAGTAGCTAAGTGCTATAGTGTGTCAAAATGACTAAGTTGCCAGATAGCTAGCGATAGCGCTTGGCTGTGATAGATTTGCTGTAATGTTATCTCCAGCCTGCAGGTATATTTCTCTGAATGGAAAATACAATGCAAAGCTTTTATGCTTTCATACCCAGCAGACTTAATGCAACGATGACCTATACAGGAATAGATTTTCCAAGCAAATGAGCTCTTGCTCTGTTTGGAAAGGAGTCTTGTTTGGCAGAAAGGAAAAGCATCTCTGCCATGTATTTGTTTTTATTAGACATCAAAGAGCAAAGATCATGTTTGTAGATGTTTTTTTTTTGATATTTTAGTGTTTCAGAACAGGAATAGTGGATTGTTGTGCAAGTTAAATAGTGAAATATTATAAAAGTGCAATAGAGGAATGTTGTGGAAGGAACAGTGAAATGATGTAGAAGTGGAATGGTGGAACGATGAAGTGGAATAGAGGAATGTTATAAAAGAAGAACAGAAGAATGTTGTAGAAGTGGAATAGTGGAATGATATGGAAATGGAATAGTGGAATGTTTTTAAAATGGACTGCTGACATATTGAAGTGGAATAGTGGAATGTTGTAGAAGTAGAATAGAGGAATTGTATAGAAGTAGAATAGTAGAATGATATAGAAATGGAATAGTGGAATGTTGAAGTGGAACAGTTGAATGTTAAAGTGGAATAGAGGAATGTATTTGAAGTGAAATAGTGGAAGGATGTAGAAGTAGAATAGTGGAATGATGTAGAAGTAGAATAGTGGAATGATGTAGAAGTGGAATAGTGGAATGATGTAGAAGTAGAATAGTGGAATGATGCAGAAGTAGAATAGTGGAATGATGTAGAAGTAGAATAGTGGAATGATGCAGAAGTAGAATAGTGGAATGATGTAGAAGTAGAATAGTGGAATGATGTAGAAGTGAAATAGTGGAATGATGTAGAAGTAGAATAGTGGAATGATGTAGAAGTAGAATAGTGGAATGATGTAGAAGTGGAATAGTGGAATGATGTAGAAGTAGAATAGTGGAATGATGTAGAAGTGAAATAGTGGAATGATGTAGAAGTAGAATAGTGGAATGATGTAGAAGTAGAATAGTGGAATGATGTAGAAGTGAAATAGTGGAATGATGTAGAAGTAGAATAGTGGAATGATGTAGAAGTAGAATAGTGGAATGATGTAGAAGTGGAATAGTGGAATGATGTAGAAGTAGAATAGTGGAATGATGCAGAAGTGGAATAATGGAACGATGTAGAAGTGGAATAATGGAACAATGTAGAAGTGGAATAGTGGAAGGATGTAGAAGTAGAATAGTCGAATGATGTTGAATTGGAATCGTGGAATGTTGAATGAGTGGACTGCTGGCATATTGAAGTGGAAAAGTGGGATGTTGCAGAAGTAAAATAGAGGAATTTTATGGTAGAGTAGAGTAGAATTTTATAGTAGAGTAGAATTTTATAGTAGAGTAGTGGAACATTGTGGAAGTGGAATAATGGATTGATGTAGAAGTAGAATAGTGGAAAGTTGCAGAGTTAGACGAGTGGAATGTTGTAGAAGTGAAGTGATGGAATTATGTTAAAATGGAATAGTAGAATGTTGAAGAAATGGATCGCTGGCACATTAAAGTGGAATAATGGGATGTTGCAGAAGTAAAATAGTGAAATATTTTCTGGCAACATGTTTTGACCAAAAAACATGTACTCTAATTATCTGCTTTAAGATTTAATCACTACTTTAGATATAAGAGGCCGTCTGGATGTTTCATTCTCAGCAGTATACAGCTGTGTCAGTCACTTTGGAGAGTACTAAAATCATCCTAGAATTATTTTATGCCTGTGTCTGTAGCAGACTTGGTTTTATATTGTTGAAAAACAGGAATTCCACAGTTTTGAGTGCTCGTGTAAATAGCGCCCGACTAAGAACCAGAGTGTAACTGCAGTTATATCAAGAGAAGAGCTATCAGATAATTGACATCTCACTCACTCTCTCCATCCCTGTCTATTATCTTTGAACATTTGAAGGGTGTAAATTTCAAACTCACTAATCTGCCCATCGACAGTTAATTAATAAAGACGTCAATTAAGACCCTGCAAACACTCTAACGAGCTTGATGGCGTTAATTCTCCTGTCCGCTCCAGCTTAGTCTCCTTGGAATTCTCTACAGAGATATGAATTATCAAAGTGTACCATGTGTGTGGGTGTCTGTGTGTGTGTGTGCGTGTGTGTGTGTGTGTGTGTGTGTGTGTGCGCGCTCATATGACGGATCCACCTCAGTACACATTAACGCTGTCACACTCGATCAGAATGGACGACATTAAGGAGTGATTGCAGTTAGAGGGAGGGTGGATGGGTGAATGGCAAAACAGAGGTAAAGACGGATGGACAGGTGAAAAGATGGAGAGGGTGAGAGAGAGAGAGAGAGAAGGCGGTGAAAAGAGATAGACATGTTCTTTCAGCAGGTAATTGAGGCGCAGGTGTGGTGTGGGAGGAGGAGGAGGGGCTTGATTAATGTCTGATAATGATTTGTTGAAGTGGAATGATCCAGTAGTGGAATACTGCAGAAGAGGAATAGTGCACAGTTTAAAACAGGAATTGTGGAATGTTAAAAGAGAGGTAGTGAAATGCTTGAGACGTGGAGTAGTGAAATGTTCAGAACAAGAATAATGGAAAAAAAGTAGAGTAGTGGAACACTGGAATATTGTAGAAAAAAATAGTGGAATGTGGTATAAGAGGAATCATGAATTGTTGTGGAATAGTGGAATGTTTAGAATAGGAATGTTTTCAAATCGGAGTAGTAGATTATGGTAGAAGGGGAAGAATGGAATGTAGAAGTGGAAAAATGGAACGTTTAGAATAGGAAATGTGGAATGTTGTCAAAGCAGAGTAGCAGATTATTGTAGAAGAGGTGTAACGGAATGTCAAAGTGGAATAGCGGAATGTCCTTGAAGCCCTATATGATGTCAGGCAATAATAAAGCGAGCAGCCATCCACATCAGCATTGCTTAAAAAGAAGCTCTCTATTAAGCCTTTGATGAGGTCTCTCTCTCTCACCCTCTTTCTCTCTCTCTCTCTCTCTCTCTCTCTCTCTCTCTCTCTTTCTCTCTTTCTCTCTGCTCCTCTTCCTGTTGATGCAACATTAGTATTCTAGTCTGAAAGGTGTTCTTTCAAAAAAACAGTAAGAGAGAGAGAAGAGACAGAGAGAGAAATAGAGAGAGGGAGAGTTTGGGGAGCAGGGCGTTATTTTGTTTTTTATCACTTGGGCTGCTGGGAGCAGAAAGCAGAGCGATGGATGTTACTGGCTGGAGTGCAGTGGTGTGTGTGCAGCAGGGTGTCTGTATGTGTGTGTGTGCCTGTCAGAGGCTTGGAGATGTTCACCACACAAGCAACGCACACACTGCTGCTCCCTCACCATCTGTACGTGTCTGAAGGAAAGGGAAGTGAAGCGCTGTCAGTCTAACCAATGAGTTTATCCAAAAAGTACACACGCGCACACACACACACACACACACACACACACACACACACACACACACACTTTGTTTTTATTGAAGTATATATTGTGTCCAGGCCTCTTTTAGAGCATTTTCCTTTGAAATTACCTTTGTCCTAATAAATTTTCCTCAAGTAATTTGACCGATTCAGATTTTGCCGGAAAATCTTAGAGGAAGTTGTTGGAATTAGTTATTATATTTTCTATTTAATATTTAGAATAGGAATAGAGGGATTTCAAAAATGGAGTAGCGGAATGTTCTAGGACAGGAATAGTGGAATGTTATAGATGTGTGGAATAATGGAATATTTAGAACCAGAATAGTGGAATTTTATTAGTGGAGTTTTGGAACGTTCTAGGACAGGCATAATGGAATGTTATAGATGTGTGGAATAATGGAATAATTGGAACCAGAATAGTGGAATTTTATTAGTGGAGTAGTGAAATGTTCTAGGACAGGAATAGTGGAATATTTTAGACATGTGGAATAATGGAATGTGTAGAACCAGAAAAGTGGAAGTTTATCAGTGGAGTGGTGGAATGTTTTAGAACAGGAACAGTGGAATGTTATAGAAGTGGAAAAATGTAATGATTAGAACCAGAATAGTGGATTTTTACAAGTGGAGAAGTGGAATGTTCTAGGACAGGAATAGTGCAGTGTTGTAGAAGTGGAATAATGGAATGTTTAGAATTGGAATGTGGAATTTTACACTTGGAGTAGTGGAATGTTCTAGTACAGGAATAGTGGAAAGTTGTAGAAGAGAAATAATGGAAAGTAGAAGTGGAGTAATGGAATGTAGAAGAGGGAATAGTGGGATTTTGTAGAAAAAGGACAAGTGGAATGTTTTAGAGGAGGAATAATGAAGTGTAGAAGTCGAATAATGGAATGTAGAAGTGGAATAGTCAAATGTTAACACTAAGCTAACATTAGCTAGTAACTTTAATGCCAACAGATGGATTCCTGGATTCCTGGATTAAATTTATGGCTAGCAGCTGGATAGCTAGCTAATTGTAAGTTACCATTAACTAGCAACTGTGATGTCAGTCAACAAAAACTATTT